TGGAACGCTCCCTTTTCTCCAATTTTCTTGAAGAGATCTCTAGTCCTTCCCATTCTATGGTTTTCTTCTATTACTTTGCACTGTTCATTCAGGAAGGCCTCCTTATCTCTCTTTGCTGTTCTCTGGAAATCTGCATTCAGTTGGTTAAATCTTTCCTTTTCGCCTTTGCCTTTTGCTTTTCTTCTTTCCTCTGCTATTTGTAAAGCCTCATCAGACGGCCACTTTGCTTTCTTGCATTTCTTTTTCTTTGGGATGGTGGTGATTGCTGCCTCCTGTACAATGTCACGAACCTCCATCCATAGTTCTTCAGGCACTCTATTTATCAAATCAATAAATACTAGCTAGTTGAACTCAAAAAAAAAGAAAGAAAGAAAGAACTGCCTCCTTTGCATTTACGGGTGGGGGGGGTGTCTCCCCCACTGAGAAGGGCTGTCCCCGACCAGTGTTCCCTCTAAGCTGAGTTAGTGTGAGCTGACTCACAGTTTCTTAGCCTCCGGCTCACACATTTTTGTCTTAGCTCAGGAAAGATGGCTCCAGAGCAAACTAATTTCTGCAGAAGCCAAATCGCTCGCTCACAACTTTAATGCCAGGAGCTCACAAACTAGAATGTTAGCTCATAAGACTCCAAAGCTTAGAGGGAACATTGTCCCCGACACCTGCTAGCAGAGAAGCTGCCAAGAGCTGAACCCAGGACCCTCAGCCACTGATCCCCCCTCCCCCCTCTCTCTCCTGTCCCCAGACCTTTTCCCACTAGAGTCAGCCACGATGTGCCTCCCCAGCAGGGAGGGTGTTGGGGCTCCCCCCTGGCCAGGAAGCTCTTTCCCCTAACCCTCGATGAGGTCTATGCAGAAAGCATTTTGCACATGCTCAGAGTCACGCTGTTTTCCTTCCGTATTTCCAGGGCCAGCACCGACAAGAGTGACCGTTCTGTGGCTCCCAGACATCAGGGGCAGGACCCTGGCATCCTAGTGGCCAAATCTGGACCGGGCAGCTGCACAGCAGGCCTTTTCTCAAGGGCTTGTGCCAACGGAAGGATCGGCGTGTTCCTGCGAAGGGGACTGGCAGGCGTGCCCTTTAAAGACACTCCCCCCCCCCAGAGCAGGAGAGCCCAAATGTCTCACTCCAAGCCCTGACATTTGACAGCTCGGGTGAAGCATCATGTTCTAAAAATATGGTGCCGGGCAGCCGGGCAGCCCTGTGCTGCAAGGGTCACTCCCTCCCCCTCCCCCTCCTGCTCCAGAGCCCCCCAGAGACATTCCAGGGGGCCCTGGGCTCAGACCTGACTCATGGCACTCCCCAAAAGCCATCTCCTCATCCGTTGCCCCCTCACATCACTCCCAACCAGCAATGGATGCAGGAGGGGGAGGAGGCAATGGGGGTACCATAACACCTGGGCCCCACCTGGCCTGAGGTATGAGCTTAATGGTGCTGGGGGCACTTCTGGGGGCTTGGCTCTGCTTCCTCTTGGCCCCCAGTGGTCCTCCAGGGCTGTAGCTCCCCAGCAGTACACTTATAGACATCTCATTTATATGGGCATAAGGTTCGATGTGCACGCACCATTCCTCAGGTGTGGAAGTCCTTACTCTGTCGGAGAGCCACTGAGAGGCGGAGGAGACAAGCCTGAACATGAGAGACCAAGAGGGGGTTTGGCTCAAGAGAAGGCAGCTCTGTGCGTGCCCGTGAGCAGCCAGCAAGGGCAGAGGTGGCGGCCCGTGACGTGTGGCTGAGCAACACCCAGCAATCTGGTCAGAGGTGAAGAGGAATCCCTCCAGTTCCTTGGGAGGAAACAGAAGGGAAGGGAGAAGGCCTTGAGCTTTTTGGAGGAATGGGGACAGGGGTTTGGATAAAAAAAACAAAACAAAAGGTAGTAATTAACACATCCCAAGGGGATGCCAGCATGGCTCAACTGCAGGGTAAAGAAAGGGACTGCAGGTAAGAAGGGCCTCCTTCTAAAAGGTGAGGTATTGCCCCTTCATAAGAAAGTCTAAAAAAGAATTTTTGTTTGTTTCATGTTTATTTACTTCAGGAGGTGGTTTACAACATTCTCCTCTCTTCTGTTTTGTCCCCACGACTCCTAATAAAATTGTTTTACAAAAAAAAAAGAAGAATAATTTTTGTTTGTTTCATGTTTATCTACTTCAGGAGGTGGTTTACAACATTCTTCCGTTTTGTCCCCACAACAACAACCCAGTGAGGTGGTCCAGGCTGAGAGTGGGTGGCCACCCAGGCAGCCTCCGTGGCAGGGTGGGGATTCAAACCTGGGTCTCCCAGACCCTAGTCTAGCCCCCTAACCACTACACCACGCGAGCTCCTGTTCCCCTATAAAAGCCTCTTCCTGTGCCGTTCCATTATAGGGCAATCCTGATCCCTTGATTTTTAAAAGAAATGTCCTCTTGAACATTTTTGGAGCAAAGTTTGAGTCCAGTCAGTGGCCAGGGGTGTAGCCAAAAAAATTTGGTTGGTGGGGCCAGGGTGCTGGGGCCGGGGAACAGGGAACTTAGTTAGATTAAGAGCAGACCGGACCCTTATTTTGACCGACCATGGCTCTGGTCACACGGGCCGGAAAATGCGGGGTGGAAGCGTGGCTGTTTGCCCCGGAGCAAACTAACGCGCGGCTGCGCGATCAGACGTCCCCTCGAGGTTCCGTCGAGGTCCCGTGGTTAGGGGGGAGGTGCCAATAACACAACACGGCAAAGAAGCGGCGCGGCGCGGCAAACGGGGCTGTGTTTTGGTTTTAAACTGAAGTGTGCGCATGCGCCGTTGGGTGCTTGTGCGCCATCCCGTGGAGACTTGGAAAAAAAACTTTTTGCATGTCGTACCCCACCCCCACCCAGGAACCCACTGCCTGCTCCATGGCCTTTCCCTTGAGTCCCCGCGTCGTCCCTCGCCCCCGGCACTCGTGCCTTGCCCAGGAGGTGATGCCACCGTTGCTCATCCCAGGAAGGTGCGGGGGGGGGGGCTGGCTGGGGCGAAGCTCTCTCTCCCCCTCCCCCGCAACAACTCATCTGCTCTTCTTTCCTCTTCACCTTTTTGCGAGGGGACATGGGAGGGTGCCGGATGCCACCAGAAACGCAATCAGATGCCCGCCCTTGCCCCGCAGTTACCGGAAACTAGTACCTCGGAGGTACTAGTTTTTAACTGCGCATCTTCGGAGGGAAGCCTCGGGTTTGCCATGGGAGCTCTACGCTTCCCAGAAGTTGCGGTGAGATCGCGCCCGGAAAATCCGCCTATCTTCCGTCTCTGCAGCGTGGCTACTGCTCCGTGTGACCGCAGCCTATGACACCCAAATAAATCGTTTTTAAAAACATGGTTTCTGGCAGCAGGACGTGTGGGGCGTGGCTGTTAAGTGAGGGGGCGTGGCCCCGATATGCCCCACCCTAGCTACAGGCCTGCCAGTGGCACCTTAAGGCCAACAAAGTTTTATTCTGGGCATAAGCTTTTGTGTGCACGCGCACTAAAGCGTGTGTACACACGAAAGCTTATACCCGGAATAAAACTTTGCTGGTCTTGCAGGTGCCTCCTGGACCCACACCCCACCTGAATCTTTGTTCCGTTGCTTCAGACCAACTGGGTGACCAACCGGTTCCTGGTTTTTTGTTCCACACATGCCACAAGCGCCAACTCTGGCAGACTCGGTAGGAGCAGAAACCTGGGAGCAGCTGGTTGCTAACCAACAATTCTTAAAATGCATCCAAAGCCAGTTTGGTGTCGTGGGTAAGTGGGCGGACTCTAATCTGGGAGAACCGGGTTTGATTCCCCACTCCTCCACTTGCACCTGCTGGATGACCTTGGGCAAGCCATCGTTCTGTCAGAGCTGTCCTTGAAAAAGAGCAGTTTCTGGCAGAGCTCTCTCAGCCCCACCTGCCTCACAGGGTGTCTGTTGTGGGGAGGGGGAGGGAAAGGGAAAGGAGTTTGTGAGCCGCGCTGAGACTCCAATCTCCTCCTCCTCTTCCTCCTCCTCCAAAGCAAGGAACCAGACATGGGGAGACACCCTAAGGTGTCAGGAGGAGGGGGCGCCTGCCAAGGAGGTGCGGGAGATCCCTAAAAAATGACTGCTGCAAGAGAGAGAGAGAGAGAGAGACTGTGTCCTCCCCCTCCCCAGGCAGATTGGGGACACCCAAGTGAGGCCAAGCGACCCGGGAGAAGGGGAACAGTGAAGCTTCGCCCAAGGCAGAATGGGTTCGCGGGACTCCCTGCCACAAGATGCGCGGCGGGTCAGCGGCTTCGACGGCTTCTGAGAGGGGGCGAGAGACGGCACGTGT